ACCCCTGTGAAGGAGCTTGCACAGACTGAATTGACATGCTTTTTCATCCAGCTTTGCAAAACACTGCATTTAACTGATAATAGCTGCAATCACAATGGAAGGCTCATAAAAACTGAAATGCTAAGAATACAGTATCATGAAAACCTAAGGAACAAATACTCATAAGGAATCAGTTTTAAAACGTACAAATTAAATTATTTAAATATTTTTTTTGACTGAATGACATAAAAAAGAACTAGTAAGTGAATTTGAAATGAATCTTTATACCCAAGAAGGGAAGGGCCACAAGGAGTGTAAAGAACCATTAGGAAGAGAAAAAGTTTTGTATCTGAAGAAATTCATTACTTAAAACTACATCCTGCACTGTGTTTCTTGTAACTTCAAGTGCCTCTGCAAAATTACATCCCAGCTGACTTTTTCTACTACAAATTCTCCTTCCTCAGTTGTGTCATCTTCCTACTTAATCAGCTCTATTTCTTCTACTGTCTTTTAGCATTCGCTTCTTTTCTTCCCATGGGATGTCATCGATTTCTTCCGATACATAGCAAAACACACGACCAATTCTTCTGTGTTGTCTCTTCATTCTCCTCTTTATACATTTCTCTCCCCTTTCCCCTGTCATGGATGCAGAAATTTATCACTGGATCTTTTTCTCAACTGTTTGATTTCCCTAAGTGATTGTACGCTATCTTCCGATTTCCTTTCCCCCAGTGCCTCTTTCCTTATTCATATTCTTACCTCTAGCCACCTGGTCATCACTGACTCTTTCCCCAAATCATAGAAACATATTTTAGCATATCCCCTTAGGAAGTAATGCAGAACCTCTAGTCTTGCTCTCATCAGTTCTGCAACTACAGCCACATCTCCTTTCTCCTTTCCACCTCTGAATTAACTGAACACATTGTTTTAAGTAAATCTCTTGAGTTCTTGTTTTCCAATTACATTTTAGACCCTTTCCAAACAACTATCTTTCGCCTTTTGCATTTGGTCAAAGCCACTCCTGCCAAGGTCTTCTGGTAGATTCTCACTTTCTGCCCACCCAGTTAACTGTGATGGTCCCACGGTGATGTAGCACTGTCTTCTCTATGGATATCCCTCAAACATCATCCCTTCATCAACAGTACATCAAAGCATTATCCTCTCTGCAGTAAAACCCCTCCCTCACCTTCCCTGTCTCTTCCTACCTACGCTAAAACCTCTTTCTTTGGCACCTCCTTGTGATTCACCAATCTCAATTCAGTACCGTTAAACTCACTATTTCACTCAAAGACCTTTCTCCTCCTTCTTCTCCCAGCCATGTGGATCATGCATGTCATTCAGACCTGCGATTTGGGCAGGCATTTTAATTCAGGCTTCATATTAGGTCCACCTTTTCGTGACCTGCACACGCTTTTTATTTCACATCTCTACCCTCTCCATCCACCCACACAGCTTATTATTTTGTCCACTCTCTCACCATTTCAGATACTAGCTAGTGCAGTGCTTTTCTCCAGCCCTGGTAATTTACGTATCCTACCTAACTCCTTCCAGGATACTGTAGGAAAGATATGTTTCACAGGCTTTCAATTTGGCTGTGTCATCTTTCTCCATACATCAGTAAAAAACCTGTACTCTCTTCTATCCAGTTGTACATAATTAAACTTTATTTTCCATTATTTTAGCAGTTGTTCCTTATCACTTTTGTATTCTCACATTCAAGACTGAAAGATCAGCTCCTGCTGCTCATCAGACTTGCCCCATCATCCACTTGATATATTTTTAGTAAGCACCTCATGTTTTTAACTCATTGCGTCTAATACTTGAAAAGAGCTCTCCAGAAATATTCACAAAGATGTTTTATATTCTTTCTTAAAATCTCCCCTTAGTACTCTCTGTTGTCAAGATGTTCCCAACCCAGTATTTTAACTATCTCCTGTCACATGGAACATTTCTCAGTTCTGTCCTCTATGGACTCATATGCCATCTCATGATTTAGTCTATGTGTGCTTGGAACAGAGGTTGTATTTTTCTTCTGTACTTCACTAGAGTATAGCACAGTGAAATCCTGCTCTGTGATTACAATTGCTGTGTATTCATATGATAAAACAAAACTATTGTGACTATCAGAATTAATGCTTAGGATTGATATTTAGAAAATCATTAAGGAAGGTTAAGATTTAGAGAAGTCTTAAACAGATTTCCAGCAATAAAAATTATGACTGCTCACACATTAGAAGTAAGAGGGCTTTTTTTATGCCTGATATCATCAGGGAGCTGGAAGAAGAAATAATGTCAGGGAACAGTACATAAAGAATCCCTAAAACTAAAACAGGGAAGCTTGATCCATGCTTTTTGTTTACTAAACACTTACTGGCAAGAAAGAACACAATTATGTTTTCCCTATAGGTCAACCATATGCCAAGGTTTAGTTTTACAAGGCTTAATGAAGGCAAAATCTGATGCTGCAGCTATTTCTGACAGAAAAGATTTATTGATTTATTGTGCTCCAATGCTCCAAAAGCTAATGCAGTTTATTGCGCTGAGAGACTCTTTAAAACTGGCATGGAATGAATTCATGATGGATACCTGTCTTCACAGTCATTTAAGTTACATTGAACCCACTTATGATCTCAGCAGATTGAAGCCCTCTGTCTGATTATTACCACTACTCATAAAGTATATAAGCACAATGACATCAAGAGGTATGATGTATCCTTAATGAGCTAAGTTTTGATGGTGAAATGATTAAGAGCAGCCCCTGCATTCCAGATTGCCCAGAGGAAAAGTGACTGCTGTTCAACTAATGATGCATCTCTGAAGTAAAAAATATGTTGAAAATTCCCATCTGCAAAACAGCTTTTCTTGATGCCCAAGATCTCAAGAACTAGATAACAATTTACTACTGTTTTATGATGGATGAACTGGCTGCTGTGATTCTGTTGGGTCTCTGAAATACTTATGGATATGTTTAATTATTAAGTGATGCTTTGGTGATTGTTTAATATTGGTGGTGTGTCTGAAAACATTTTTGGAAAGCTGAAGTTGTTAACTTATCTTGTAAATACCTTATAAATTGCCAGGTATAAGGTAGCTTATAAACTTCCAAACAAGCAAGCAGGAGGCACTGAATTTACAACAATGCTTAGGATTGATCCTGCCTTCTGGTTTGTCCACTGAATAGACAACTCATGATACTTCAGTACATTACTGATATACAACTATGTGTGTATATAAATGTGTATTTATATCTATACCTGTACCTGTATAGGAATCAATCCGTTCTTTTCAATTTCCTTCTTACCCAAGAAGAATGTTCAGACAACACTAAAAAGATGAGCAGTTATTGTACCATGGGAAAGGAAGGTGGATACAGAGAAACTTTCCTTTTTATTCACAACTTATATACAAAAAGTGGTCAAAATGAGAAAAGTGGGCTGACTTCCATGTTGGGAGCCAAAATCTAACAAACACAGACAGAAGTCACTGCACAGCAGTCACTTAATATCTTGTTTCTCTATCAGGTAGGGACTCCAGACTTGTGCTGCTTCTTCCTGAAAGCAGAGAGCAGCTAACAAGCAGAGGAAGAAGCTGACATGGGGAACAAGAAATTGTTTCTCAAAGAGGACTTTACTTTCTGTGAGGGTCAGCATTTTTGCTGAAGACTAACCTGAGTAAAAGCTGGAAACCAGGGACAGGGTCATGCTTTTTGAGAGGCAGAACTGCCAGATCCATTAAACTGGGAACTTAGTGGGAACAAGGAAAAGGACTTTCAGACATCCTTTCCCACACTACCATCTAGCAGTCTCTGGAACACCTATGCCAAGACAGTCTTAAAGGCAACTGTTTTTAAACAACTGCTTTTGCTGAATTCTAAAATGAACTCAGATGCATGAAGGAATGATGACACTTAATGTATAAAAGCAGTACTATGGCTATATTGGCCCATATCTCCCCAGACTGAACACTACATATTTTGATTCTCTTTTTGTATCACATTTTCTTTGTGCATGTTCATGTGTGTGTGTATGTACAAGCATGTACACATGTATGTTTGTAATAAAGGAAGAAAGTGGATTACCATAGAGTGCTCTGTGCTTACCCTAATACATATAAGCACAATTTTACAGGCATAAGTTATCTTTAGGCAGTGCAGAATTAGCAAGTTAAAATAAAGTATTTTTTTCTGGGATTTTCTGCCATTCTTGGGTAGGTGAGAAGGGCTTCAAGACTATTCAGCAAGTCTCAACCTAATTTTTTGCTAATGAAGAAATATTGTATTTGTCTTAATGGAAATTACATGAATTTTGCAATACAAGATGTCACTCATTTACATTAAAAGTCATGGTTCAAAGGAATCATGGTAAGATGTATAAATCTAGAATATTATCTGATAAAATCAGAGCCAATTGTGCTGAAATGTTTCCAGATTCAATACAGCAGCAGAGGTACATGACCCCTCCATGGTACAGCAACCTATGACAGTTATTTACAAGAGACAAAAAAAAAAAGGGAAGACTGCTTATCCACATCAATTGTCAATCAATATGCACATGTATCAGCCTAGACAAAGAGGATTAAAAAAAAAAGAATCCAAATTCTCTTCTTTAGTACTGAAACAATGAAATAAAGATGGTTTTAATATTTATGAGATATCACTCAACAAAAGATTTTTCTCTGAAATAATAATTCAAGTAGGGAATATAATGAGGAAGCTTACAATTTCTATTGTTTATTAGAGTCAAACCCAAACTCTAGTCTAAACCAATTTAAAAAATAATATGCTGTAGTTGCATGCATAATAATGAGTCAAGTTAGCGTATTACATTATTTGGTATGCAGAACAAGTTCACTGAATCTGAGAGTGAAACTTGCTTAAATATGGAAGCATCATGATTGAAAGCAAAAAAGGCTGCAGGGAAGATAGAAAATAAGCTAAGCAAAGGGAGAAGAAAAGGAAGACAAGTAGGGTCTTGGTACAGGAGGAAGAATAATAGATCAATAGAAACACAAGTATATTTTACCTGCCATCCTTTTTCCCTTCCTCAGCTTGGTCTTCTTGAGCTTTTTCATCATGCCCTGATCCTTTGTTTTCCTCCTTATGACAGTTCTCTGTCACCTCTTGCCCTTCCCCTTTTTCATTAACTTCTTTCTCCTTTGCTTTTTCCTCCTCCTCTTTTTCTTCCTCCTCAGGAAATACTCCATCTTGTTCATCCCCTTCCAGCCCTCCCTCTTTTTTTCCCTCTATATCCCTTGTCCTTCTGAAGTCAACAAAAATTGAAAAAGGCATGCAAAAAGAAAAGAGAAAAGAATAAATTAAAGTTATGGTCATGGAGAAGATCATGCATGAACTCACAAGAAAGAAAATGCAAAATAAATTAAATAAAAACTAAAAGATGGAAGCAATCATGAGTTAAACCATGCTGGCTAAGACTCCAGCCTACTCTAGAGAACCTTGGGACATTTTCTTAGCACAGTCCCTAAGTCCCTCTTGAATAAAAGTTGCATGGCAATACATCACAGTTAGAAATGTATACATAACTGTATGTCAGAAACAATGTGGTCCTCACAATGCTCATATAAGCAGATGTTTAAACATTCTTTTCAAACATACTATTTCTCCCAAGAGGACAATTTTCTGAGAATTAACAGAGGCTGACTCTGATTTTTGCTGAGATGCAGGTGGGTTACACCTTCCAAGAAAAATGATCTTTCATTCCTTTTACAGCCAAAGTTCCTCTGAGTGTGCACAGGACACAGGCAAAGGAGATGCTGTGTTTTGCTCGCAGATACACTACGTACATCTTGTTAAAAAGTAGTGCAATGGTTGTACATCTGCAGTTAAATTGGACTAGTGTAAGTATTAAATAAATTCAATTGGTCTGTGTAAATATTAAATAAGAGTTCTATAAAAGTTCAACAGCACTAGTTTTAAAGAAAATTAAGATGGCTCTGACATTGCTGGCATAAACTTTCAAGTTAAACTGTCTTTTCAGCCATATTAAATATTTTACAAAACGATTTTCAGAAAGTACAAATCTAAGTGTGTCTAATGCTTGCCGACAGCATGTGTTTGTTATTTAGTGCATGCTAGTATAACCCAAGATGACAAAACTTGGCTAAAAACAAATACCATGAAGACTTCAGAAAACATTAGATGAAGACGCTTAAACCAGTATTTTGTAAATTCCCTGCAAATTTTTAACCCAGGCAAAATATTAATTTCAAATACAAATATTGACAAATATTACGTTACTTAGATCACACAGCTATGGCTGGCACTGCAGCTCCTTGTGCTCACCTTATTTTCTTGTTCCCTCTTGGACGCTCTGACTGGACGGACATATAGCTTGTGCTGCTGAAACGTGAAGCACTGCTTGTCCGTGACACAGCAGAGACATCACTGACATCGCTGTCTGAAGACTTATTGGAAACATTGTCTGAGCCTCGCTGAGGATCCCGTCCTGACCGATACTGTAAGAGGAGAGGGACAAAGATACAGATGTTGTCAGTGACATATTACCACAAATCAGCTATGGAGCTGGTCCCTGATGCTATCTAAACTGTCTTTGTCACCAGAGTGCCTGAATTTTTATAATGAAGTTTTCAACTGATACAGAATACAAGTAACATCTTGGTTTTTATTAATTTTACCCTGCTTTGCTATCCCATTCAAGATATTAGCTCCTCAGCTTCGTCCATAGACTGACTTGTACAAAACTTCCAGCTCTTCCAAAGGTTTCACAAACCTTACCAAAGAAATATAACCATCATCAAATATGCACAAATCAAAAAAGAGAGACTTAGTGGCTTGCCCACGATTACTGAGTTTATGAGATTGAACAGGAGACCGAACATGCTTCATGCTGTCTATACAATATGTGTCTCCTTTGGGGCCTAGCCTGTTTACAAGAACTTCTAGTTGACAAATGTTAACAATGTTTCGTTTTGGCTTTTTTAAAAGTAAATAAATAGATGAGATTATCACACCAAAAGACAAAGCAATGTTGTAGCTGTGCAAACAAACCCCACATCTTGCTGAACTGCTGGACTGGGGAGTCTGAAATGATGGGACAGGAATAGAGATAATTTGTACTGACAGTGCCTCAGAAACTAAAAAATTACAGTAGTATTTGAGCTTATTAACAGTACATTCCAAACATGGAACTGGCAGGTGACTGGTGATCAGCAGTAAGCCCATACAATATAAAGCAATGTTGTGCAGAGGTATTCAAGTTATATCTGAACAAAATATTATGACCATTTGCTCTTGTTACACAAGTTAGGTCTAAATTAATGCTAAGTCTGTGCCACTCTGCATTGCACTATGTGCAGATTATAATAAATAGCAGAAAGATGTTTCTTCCTCTCCTCTTGACACAGTCATTTCTGTGTATGCAGAAATCCGACAGGTTGCTATTGATAATCTTTTCAGAAAAATAGTACTGCAAGATGAATTGTCAGTGATCACCAGGTAATTGTTTGGCTTATATAGAAAGAAGACAGTATAGAAAGATGTGAAGAACGGCACAGACAGGACTGAAAGGAAACAATGGAAGAAAATAATCTGTGTAACACATCAGTGGCTTGTTGAACTCTTGGGGACAGTAACACTGGACTCAGCCACCTGGAGAAAATAATTCCTAATGTAAAGTGGCAGACCTATGTACTTCTGCAGAAGAGAAGGATGTCCAGGTTTGGCTATCAAATTTGTCCCATTTTTATAGTTTTGAAATAACTGACTTTCATGAAATACACAGATCATTTGTTTCTGTTCTCTTGCAAGGAATGTTACACTGAGAAATATTCTGGAAGACTGTGCAGTGTCTAAATAGCATTTCAGAATAGAATTTGACTGCCTGTTTACCATAAATGAATTTTACACTTAGAAATAGTAAGTTATTTTGCCCATTTTAAGACAGGGAAATGAAACAGAGATGAGGAAAAATGCTCATGCAGGTTACACTGTACACCTACTGCAGACAGTGACTGAGCACAGCCTGAACTGCACACTTACATAAAATGGTTGCCCATGCTGCAGCTGGCTTCCTGATCTGTATGCATTTACAGTGTTTGTGCTCAGTGACAAACCACTCAAGCTCTCCCCAGCCTTTAGGTGTGAGAGTGGACTTAGCCAGCCATAAACTCACAGTGTACCTCTGTGATTATGACTGTTTTTATCGATTCCATTAATATTTTTGCTTGATAAAGAAGACAGTACATATTATTATTGATATATCCATTTGGGAACATAAAAACCATGATTAAACAGGTGTCCTGATCATCAGAGATAATGGAACATTATACCAGAAAAAAAGGATTGTTCTTTTTCAGCTTCTCCTTTTAAAAGAGCAATTATTTGCAAAGTTGCAGGGGGCGACTTTGGAGAACAACAAAATAACTATGCCTAGAGAAACGCGTATATATTGAGGCCTATTACTCAGTTCCATTCACCTAACCCTCTCTAGAATAATTCTGCATTGAAGACAAAGTTATGAGTGTAGTTTGGGTTGATTTAGCCTGAAACTACCAAGACTGGGAAGTATAGCCTGGTGCACCGGGCTACCACCACGCACTATAGCAGGGACATCACAGAGCTGCCCTCAGGCCTTCAGTACTCGCCGAGGCTCCCGAGCAGATGCACTTGCTGTGCCGAACCCTGTGCTGCCAAGGCTCCGCTGCTGCTGGCTCCCAACAGAGCTCACGTACAGCCAAGCTGGGTGTGCCTATGTGAACAGATGTACCGACAGTGGCTAGTGGCCTCAGGAGAGACACACCGCTAGCGTTACAGACCTCATGCAGCCATCCGTCGGGGAAACAAGACAGACCGTAGTGTCAGATGTAAATCATTGATGGAATTGTTAATTACATTCCAATTAGGGGATAGATAATTACTTGTGGTGATTCATAGCATAACAGACCTCAACCTGCAGATCCTACACTGAGCTTGCCAAGCAGTCCATGGAAATGAGCCCTTCTAAATTAAATACGTGCAAGCAAACAGTATCAGCATTGCACAAAGTTATTGTAAAGAGTCATTCTGCAGTGCACTGGAAGTTTCAAAAGCCTATGGGTTTGATTTTATCCGTTTCATTTCCACACCTGGAAAACATCACTCCTTAAAATACAGTTTTCATAGAAATGTGCTGTATATAAAAAATCATAAATCATTTATTTTCATAAATAAAACAACCTTATTGTATTTTTTTATAAAACCTGATGTAATAGTAACAATCTAGTGATTGAGAATTGCTATGTCAAGAAAAGCAACTTAAAGGTAAATCATTTCAGTAATATAATGTGAAAAAAGATCATCAGATTACTACCTCGTCTCTTTTTTTCTCAGTTGTATGTAAAGGTACTTCCCATCAAATGTTTTCAATTGGGTCAGATGGCACAGAAATATTATTTGACCCTTACTATTTCAGGATGTTTTAGATCTGAAATTGGGAAAGTTAATTAATCCTACATTAAATGTCTTAACGTACAATATTTGTTTTTAAAAGTTGTATTTACACATTGTCTGTGTTACAGTCTCAGCATCTGTTAGCAGCCTACCAATGTAATATCTAGAAACTGAAACTTAATTGTCTTTCTTGCTGGACAAAGCTCAGATACCCTATATTCATCCATTAACTCTGCTCTAAATTGCTCTTTATTCTGCTGCTAAGATCTACTTTTGGATTTATATCTGTCTTAATTTTGTTTAGGAAATGGATTATAATTGCAAGTGTACTGCACGTTAGTGTTTCAGTAACTGCAGCACCGAAAAAAAAAAGGAAACACACCGTCTGACAGAAGCCATGATGGTATTTCAGTCTTACATTTGTTTCTTAAATTGCAATTTTATATAAGGCAGTTACTGAAGTGCTCCCTTTCTCTCTGCCTCAGAAGTATGAATATTCCATTGTGTGAATATTGATTTTTAAAAAGTATTCAGTTCTTTCATGTCATATACTCTGATTGTACAACGCAAACATTTTTATGCAATTTTGTAATATTCTTTCTTTGGTTTTTGTTCGGCTAAAGGTACCCCAAGGCATTACATCTTCATATATCTCCTATACTTCCTTGGTTTCTTCCTCCAAAGGTCACTTCCTTTTTTTTTCTAAACGTTACCAGCTGTATGGTAAGATCAACTGTTAGACTGAAAGGGTCATTATTAGCCAAGTGCCACCCACTCCTTATATCCGAAACACTGCTACCATTTCCCATCCCTCTCGGCTGCTGTCCCTACACACTATGCTGTAGGAATTTGCACCACCAGAATGCGCACTGCTGGGGAACTGCAGCTGCTGTGGCTGGATCCTGGCTGTAGCCTGGCCACAGGTTTGATTCATCAGATCCAGCAGCTACCCTGTATGCTCTGATTTCCCTCAGAAGAAAACATGGGCACGAGGACAGTAAGGCAGCTAGCTGCATGTGCATTGATAGCTCCCCTGGTTTGGACAATCAGGAGGACCAGGCTGTGGTGAAGTGTACCTGACTACTATGCAGGTTAATTAAATACTGTTTCTTTTTCATTTTCTTTCTTTTTTCTTTTTTAAGTAACAGCCACAGTAATAGAAGAACTATCTCCTGACGTTCCCCATGTTAGAATATACATCTCTTTTACTGAAGTAAAGTTAAATTTTCATTTTAAACTCAATCAAGACTCATATAATATAGGCAGTATTCTGGACTTCATGACCCATAAAGCAGTAAGAGTACCCAGGCTCTTCAAGCTGCTTCAACAATGGGAAGTCTGCTGTGAGCAGAGGGGTTGATTAAAAGTTGCTTTTGTATTTTTAATAGTAAGATGATTTTGTCCTATTTTGCTGTGTTGAAGAATAGGATAAATTTTGTTATTACAGATTCTATCAAACAAGTTTTAAAGTTTCTAAAAGCCCTTTCCTCTGCATTAGTAAAATAATCAGCTGGAGACCCTAAGAAAGTGACACTTAGGTATTTGTACCAATACCCTGTATGCTATAGATTACTTTCCTGTAGTGATGAATTCAAGATTATTAAGGCTGAAAAACAAACGCCTGCTCTGCTTCCTAATACAACAACCTCTGTAAATGCTTTGAACTCTTTGTGAACTACCACTATATGACTGACAGGCCACATCGAGCTACAACTGCCCTGATACTTATTTCTCAAAAGAAACTGTTTTAGAACTTCTAATTCAAAGGGAGTTTTGAAGTGTTTCATGTTGCTTTAATCTATTGTTCTTAATCTTCCATCTTGGACTATACAGTCATGCAGTTGTCCAGGCAATTGAAATTGTCAGTGATTTCCAAATGTCTTTATATTTTGTTTTTTTGTTTTTTTGTTTTTTTTTTTTTTTGTAGTCTAATCATCAGTCTTTACTTGCTAGCATTTACATAGGAACATGCAAATCTGGTCAATGTCTTTACTGATCAAAATGGTGGGAAGATGTTTCAGACAATTGTCCATTGTGCTACTGCAAGAAGATTAAAGAACCATTCTGG